GAATTTCTATAAAATATAATATAAAAGAAATAAAATAAAAGAATTTTTTATCATTAACAAAGATTGTATATTAATCGTTTTTACATTTTTATTATTGTAATAAATTATTAAATATATAAATTAAGAACAAAATTTTTAATCTCAATAAATTCAATTTGTGAGATTTTATTTTATTACTATTCTTCATGTAAAATAATAATATTAGAATATTTTAACACTTGTAAATCAAAAACTAATATCATAGAAAATAAATTTAATTTTATTCAATAAAAATATATATTAATTATTACATATAGTATTGTAAAAAATTATTAAGTCTATAAATTAACATTAAAGAAATAAAAATTGATAAATTATTAAATATTACATTCAAAAAATCAGTTTTAATAGAATCGGTAAATAACTTATAATTTCGGCAGTCTTCGCAACAATTGCACCTTCTATAAATACGAGCCAGATTACGAAATAACAATCATTTCCTAATCAACCTTTCTATTAGAAAGATCGATATTATAACACTTTAATTTGAACTAGGAAAATGTATAAATTGTTATAAAATATTATTAAAAATAAATTGAAATAGAAATTCAATATTCTCTTTTTTCTATTTTTTTATTTGATAATATAATTATTAACTATGATCATTTGATATAATTTGCAATTAATTCTATTGCAATTATTCTTCAAGAATAATTAAATTATAATAATGTAAAGAATATTTTTCAATTATTTATACTTAAAAAAATTTATTTTAAATTAATATTTAATATTATTGTTTCGTATTATTCATATACTTATTTATTCATTTTACTTTTTAATTACTATTTACTTTAGTTCATTTTACTTACAATTAGTCATTTATATATTTAAATATTCATTTATTTAAATATTTATTATGATTTATTAATTTCTTCAATTATTTATACAGTCATTCATTTTTTTATTTATTCATTTGCTGATTCATTTATTTAATTTTTTTTTTAATTTATATATTTTCATTTATTTATTATTTATTTAATTTATTTAATTTTATTTTAATTTATTTTTATTTTATATTTTTAATTTCTAATTTTTTCATATTAGCTATTGTTGTAACTAATAGCTAGCAAATTAAATTATTATCTTATTTTGCAATATGAAATTATGTAATCAATCCTGAATAAAATTTAAGAATTTAGTTATTAATTTATTATAATTTATTATTAATAGATATTGATTAAAAATGTATAAAGGACGATTAGAAGTTGAGAAATAAAAAAGCAAAAAATCAAACCATAATTACGAATTTCAAGAATGAAGCAACAATATCAAAACGTTTTTATTGGATCATCATTCAATTATGTATTTATTATTATTCTATAATTGGTAAGTTGCATGTTTTAGATTTTTTGATAGTCAAATATTCAAATATAATTATTTAAATTTCTAATATAAATTTGCGATTATGCATGAATTTTAAATTGAACTAGAAAAATGTATAAATTGTTATAAAATATTATTATAAATAAATTGAAATAGAAATTCAATATTCTCTTTTTTCTATTTTTTTATTTGATAATATAATTATTAACTATGATCATTTGATATAAGTTGCAATTAATCTATTGCAATTATTCTTCAAGAATAATTAAATTCTTATAATATAGAGAATATTTTTCAATTATTTACATTTAAAAAATTTATTTTAAATTAATATTTAATATTACTGTCGTATATTATTCATATACTTATTTATTCATTTTACTTTTTGATTACTATTTATTTATTACTTCATTTTACTTATAATTAGTTACTTACATATTCATTTATTTAAATATTTACTATATGATTTATTAATTTTTTTAATTACTTATATTTATTATTATACTATATTTATTTATTTATATATTATATTATATCATATTTATATCATATACTATTTTTATTTATATTTATATTTATATCATATACTATCATATATACTATCATATACTTTTACTTATTAATTTATTTATTCGTTTATATTTTTATTTATTTATTTATTTATTTATTTATTTATATTTTCATTTATTTATTTTTATTTATTTATTTATTTATATATTTATTTATTTTTTTATAATATAATATAATTAAGTTTTAATAACTTATTTTTATTATATTCTTTATGTTATGTGGGTCTCGATGTAGTTACCTCCTCGTTGGTGAGACCTGGTAATTGGCATCAGTTTTCATATTGTTTTAATTGATTAAAAATATATTAGAAAATTGTATTACAAATTTTATATTAAAAATATATATTATAATATTATTAGAAGTATTATATTAGAAAGATTAGTTGTTAGATATTAGAAAGTTAGTTTTTGAAAATTGATGCCAAGCTAAGAACTACACTAATTTTCTTTTCTATATTTCAGATTTTTCTATTGTAATTTAAATTTTTTTTTTTCATATTCTTTGCATGTTCAATTATAGAATTTTAATTATTTTACAAAAAATTTCGAATATTTATAATTCACGACTATCTTATTATTAAAAATTATCTATTTTGATAACGAACAATTACAACGTAATTTTTCTAAATTAGTTAACTTAAATTCTTAAAATTCATAATCATTTTTGAATCATTAAAGAATATTTTATAATTCATAGCAGTATTTTCTTAAACAAATGTTTGATAAGAAAAAGATGGAAAATATCTACCTAATTTGCATACATTTTTAATTTAATTACTATCTACACTTTAAATCTATAGAATTTTTTAAATCTATAGAATTTTTTAATTTTCACGTTTCTTTTTTATTTTTTGAATTTTTCTAATTTATTTATTCATATCTTGAATTTCTTATTAAACTTTTAACTTTTATCATTTTTATATTTATTATATTATATTTTATATTTTTTTATCTATCTTATATTTTTATATCCATCTTAAATTTTCCTAATTTCTTTCTAACTTTCAAATTAATAATTTATCTTTATCAAACTTTCTTTATAAGTGAATATATACTATATATGTCATTTTCTTTGTGGGACTTAATATTTTTTGTAGATTATTTTTTTTTTAAATTTCAATGTTGTTCTTAAGATTTCATTAAATTATTCCTCAAAAAATGATATCAAGCTAAAAATTTCATAATATGTATCTATATATATATATCTAAATATAGCCAAGATTTCGTTAAAATTTGTTTTTTAATTCAGCATTTTTGTTTTATTGTTCTCCTTTAATTATAGCTATAAATATAAAATGTTTTATATAAAATATAAAAATATAAAATATAAAGATATAAAATAAAATATAAAATATAAAGATATAAAATATATAAAAAATATATT